GCCTTAAAATAGGGTTGTCTGTCTTCTTGGATATAGTCCTGGGGTTCCATTTATAAATAAAATCGCTGAACACTTTTTCTTTCAGGGCGTGCAATCCAATTTGTATCCAGGATGGGGCACCATCGCCCTCAAAAAAGGTTGAAACAAATTGCATTTGAGCCGCCAAATAATACTTTTAAAAACATGGTAATCGAAGGCCCCCTGATCTGTAATCCCACACTAATTTCTCCTTAGATACCCTGGCCACCTTACAGTTCCATATAAACTGTCTAACATGTTTATTGAGGGTTTTAAAAAAAGTTTGAGGCAGTTGAATGGGTAAGGACCGGAAAAGATACTGTAGCCTTGGTAGTACAGTATATTCATTTTCACACAGTTAACTCTACCAATTAGAGTAATGGGTAAACTCATCCACCTTTGTAGATCACTTTCAATTCTACTGAGCAATGGGAGGTAGTTCAGTTTGTATATATTTGTAAGGTCATTATCTATAGTTATCCCAAGATATTTTATATTATTAACCCACTTAAATGGGCTTGTACGTTGATACTCAGTGTAATCAAAGTTAGTTAGTGGAATGATTTCACTTTTCTCTTGGTTTACCTTATATCCTGACATAACACCATAAGCATTTAGCAGGGTCTGTAATTTGGTGAGGGAGTTACCAGGGTCTGTCAAGTACAAAAGTACATCATCTGCCAGGAGATTAATTTTATGATTTGTCTGATNTCCTTTTTTTATCTGGACATGCAAGGGTGACAACTTTTACGTTGACAATGTAAAGTTAATTACACTCATCAAATGTCTTGACATTAACAATTTAATTAAACATTGTCAACGTAAAAGTTGTCACCCTTGCATGTCCAGATAAAAAAAGGATTGCAAGGTTTTACTGATTCTCATGCTTAACAACTTAACATATCATTTATGCTGCTGGGAGCTTTATAGGTTTTGGAAGATTAGAAGATTGCTACAAAAAAAGACTCCTCGTGTCCTTTGAACAATTAAAGAGGAAATATGACTTGTCCAACCAGACCTTCTTCTGCTATCTTCAGTTAAGATCCTGTCTTAGAGCCAACCTGGGAACTGGGATGACTTTACCCGTGTTGACTGATGTGGAGAAACTGCTTCATGAGGGAAATGTATACAAAGGTATTTCTAAAATGTACTCTTTACTGCTGAATGAGGGCCCAAAGCCAGGTTTACACAAATCTAGAGCGAGATGGGAGTCAGATCTGGATGTAGCAATTGATGAACAGCTCTGGTCAGATTTATGTATATTTTCGACAGTTTGTCAGCTACTATTAATGCCAGGTACAGACTGGTTCACTATAATTTCCTCCATCAACTGTACCTCACCCCACAGAAACTACATAGATCCAAGCCCGAGCTGTCAGAGATGTGCTTCAGGTGTGGTATTGAGGTCGGCTTCTTCCTACACTGCACCTGGCTATTCACAAAAGTGAGGCCCTTTTGGTAAGATTGTTGTGAGACCTTAACCGAGATCACAGGATCTACCTTCCCTTTAGATCCTGAGCTTTGCTTGCTGGGCGATTTCACAAGTCTCAATAGATATTTAACTAAATCCCAAATTACATTTATTGAAATTGCTTTATGTGTGGCTAGGAAATGCATAACAGTAACATGGAAATCTGACTCTCCTCTCCTCATTGATAGATGGTCTTTAGAAATGAACAGTTGTATTCCTCTTGAAAAGATCACATATAGTCTTAGAAAAGGATATAACACCTTTCTGAGGATCTGGCAGCCTCATTTAGAGTTTATAGATGCATCACCACCATAGGTATATCATCTGATGAACCAACAGGCCTCTGGATATACAGTAGCACTGTGTATGTGTAGTATCTCGTTGTGTTTTGATTTATGCACTGACTTTTGTTTGTTTTTGTTTGTCTTTGTTTTGTTATTTTGGGGGGAGGGGGGGATGCTTTGCGTTTTTATGCTACATGTTTTTTTTTTGTTGTCATGTTTAACTGTTACATAAACATGAAAACTATAAATAAAATATTACAAAAAAGAAGAGGGCATCTTGAGTTGGACATTGCCTGAGAACCAGCGGCGCCGGATTCATTTCAGAAGTGGGGGTGGCAAAAAGTGCGTGTGTATGTGACATACTTGCTAACCCTCCCGATTTTCGCGGGAGACTCCCGATTTCCTCCCGGGATCATATTTATCCCGCATTTCCCCCGATTTCTGACTAAATCAGATTGGTGAGTCACAACCTGTTTTATTCTAACAGAACGCTCCAAATGTTACTGTTTCCACTCGGACTTCAATACAGCTACACCATTGTTTGGTTTCCATGGTAGCGCGTCTCTTAAGTAGCACGCGCAACTGAAAGTCTGAGAGGGTGAGGCAGGCAGATAGTCACAGAAAACTGAACAAGAATCGACAACTCTACCCTCTGCCCACTCCTTTCCTGTGAAATACAGGTCCAGCCCACACATACAGTATGCTCCATCAAGACAGTGCACTTACAACTACAATAAGCGATCCACTAGCACCCCACCCCCCCGCGGTGGTTTTGAAATGCTCTCGATTTCTGAGGTCTCAAGGTTGGCAAGTATGATCCCGCTAGAGGCAAAAACAGATGAATGTGACTCATGTCATTATGCTGACAACTCTGAATTATTCATATTAACAGTGTTTTTTATCACAGGTAGGACAGAAGAATTTGTAAAGACATCAAATTGCTTGAAGTTGCATTTGGTAAAAGATTTGCAAATCATTTTGACATTATGATTTTTGAGAGGATTTGTACCAAACAAAGACTGTTTTTCTTAAGACACACAGTTCCCTTTAACAAGTATTGTGACTTCGGCGATGATATAAGTTGTAGGAGGCTATGTTGTGATTTTGACAACATTTTGAATGTTACCACCTATTTCCAGGTAACTTAACAACCCAACTGCTTTTGACCAGGTTCGCATGTCAGCTATGACTGAACAGTCTCTACCTAAGAGTTAGAAATATGCATTGGAAAGCTTATATATTATGTATGGAAATGCTCTGTTTTCATACTAAAATGAACTTATCCTGCATTCAAATATCACCCCTTTGGCAAAGGACATTTAGATAATGATCTGTAACAACAAATAATGATGTTACCACAAGCAAAACTGACCAAAAGCTACAAATGCAACAATGCTTCAATAACTCAGTTCAGAATTCATTACTTGCTGAATGTATTAACAGGGGAAAGAAAACCTACCATACTGCAGGAGGTCATCTCTTTTTCCATGTTTGAAAAGCTTCCCCTAGGTGGACAATACAAAGATGACCAAATCAAATCCAGATATACTGAAGGGGAATCATGATTGGACTAACACTTGCAGCATCACGCAATGATTGTTGCACTGAAAAAACACACATTATTATTATTATTATTATCTCAAAAACCAATGCGTGCAAGTTATTTTATTTTTTTAGAATGTCACTTTACGCTGAATCTACAAACACAAACAAACAAGCAAGGGTCCCGAAGCTTGTTGACCGAACACACCTGCCAGTTTTAAACGCCCTAAGCACCACATAGGCAGGGAGCAGGTTCACATCACAGAGTAACTACAAACACACTCTTTCTAAAACATGTCATGCAAGTTTATGTGCCAAGAATACGAATGTAATGTTCTTGCTTGAGGGCTGCATAAATTTACCTAAGTTGACAGGAAGTGATTGATAAAGAGTTATAGTGAGAACAGGTGTATCTAAGAGTCTTCCAGTGGAAAAGGGGTTCATTCAAAGTTTTCCGTTCAAAGTCCCCTCAATGTTGTTGTCATTTGATAAAGAACCGTTTAGCTTAAAGCAGCGGATACAACTGACGCAGGTGACTTGAAAAAGCAGATCACACACACGCAGCAGGTGCATTACACACCTGCCAAAACCACATGAGGCATTGTGTGAGGCATACCAGTCATGTCAGCTCTTGTAAACTATCACCTGCAGGCTTTAATACAGTGGTGAACACAGATTACACTGGCTTTTTATACACACACAGGCAGTCATGAATACATGCAGGTTTGAGTGGGATAGGGGAGTGTGTGTGTTTACCAGAGACTGCAGGGCACCATCCAGCATCCCAACGTCTAACGGTGACAGGTCATTCGTTTGGGTTATGGTGGTCAGGCTATAGTCCAAAAAGTCTCCAAGGCGCTTCATTTTGACATCAGGGCGTGTGATGAACCTGTACAGTCACGTACATAAGACAAAAAAAAGGTCTCTTGTGGGTAAACAAATGCAGACACCAGTGAAGACGAGGAAAGAACAACAATGCCCTCTATTGACTGGAAAACTAATTACAGTTAATGACCTAATAACTCTATATTGTACCTTTTCTTTTTTTAATAATAACACCAGTTTTTGGTCATGGTTGACACAGGCTTTCCTAATAGACACACAGAAGACATTGTGTATGTTCACCATGTATGCAACAATTATTTTTTTTTAAAAGCTTTTGGTTTATGTACACTTCATGGCAATTGTAAACATGAAGTAAAAGAAAAAACATGGAGGTGGATGGCTACATCCATTTATCTGAGTTGAAGACTCTCATCACACAACAAGTCTAAGAAAACCTGCTCAGTTTCTTTGTTGTCCAAGACTAAATGATATGTAATACGTGTAAGAGCTGCCAGCAGGAGAGGGTTAGTCAGTTACTTACAGCCGTCTGGATTCACAGACACAATGACTGAGACATTAGTGACACTGATGCAGTTCTCTTGCAGTCCGAAGTCTATCCTGTGACACTTATTTGCTATTTGTACATGATTATGAGTTTACAAGGACTTTGTCGTGAAATACACCCAAAGTTCTGTGTGATCAGTTTCTTTCTCCACACTTGATAACACTGGTTTGTTGTCATTTGTTTCACTGAGAGGGCCTTAAAGAGACAACTATATTCAGGCAGATAGTATTAGAATAATTAAGGCTTTTTTGAACATTGCAGCATGTAGACATATTCTATTATAAACCCAACATTCAAAATGACCTAAACAGTGGCATAATATATCATTTTTAACTAAATATTGGCCTGCGCAGTATACTAGCTTTTGTATGTAGTAAGGACTGCTGAAAGCATTCACCTGTTTAATACATTGACCATCTTCGCCCCGTGGAAAAATTACATCATATGTATTTGGCCACGTATGTATATTGATTTTTTTTTTTTTTAAATCCAACAGTTTTCATGACAAACTGCAGATTTTTTTACAAAGAAATATGTGTAAAATAGAAGGTGGTCTAAAATCATATCAAAGAGGTGTGTCCCACTCTTGTGTAGTAATAATAACACAATGCTGCATTGAGGAGTCATTGGGCCACATGACATGGAAGCTATTGAAAATAAATGTGACTTTTAAACAACAACAAAAAACTGCTGAATTGAAAGACTTGAACTTTTCTTTTGTAAGGAGCATTATTATTCAATTTGTTCAAAGGTAATACAAATTTGAATAAAACCACAAAATCTAAATACAAGGTTATGGTTAATAGGAGGGGGTTGAGCACTTACTTTGATACTAGTACACACGCTGCATCTCTGGAGCTGTCAGAGACCAGGAGATAGGACTGGAAAAGAATACGGTATGAAAACATGACTGCACAAGATGATAACATTCTTAACACTAGATCCGCCACATCACAATCGCAACAGCATCATCACTCACAGAGATGTAGATCTTCTTGAAAGATTTACTTTGTTTATTTTCATCATTTTGTATTAAATACTAGCTTTTAGCTCATAAGGAAAAACCCTAAAGAGCCAGCTTACTAGCTGTTACCAAATGATTGTATTTTAAGATTTGTCTTATTAGAAAGTGCTTCATCAAGGGATATTAATGGGGTCCCAAATGATAGAGTATCATAACCTCGTCACCTCTCACAACATGTTGTTGAGCCAGGTGGCCAACCTATTTTCTTAACTTCAGCTTACTCTCTCTCTCTCTCTCTCTCTCTCTACCTATTCTCATTCTCCTCACCACCAACAGCGTCCAGCTGTAGATGGCCCTGCACCTGCAGCAAACATGTCTGTCATTTTTACACAATCGGCAGCATCTGCCTGAAGGGCCGTCTTTTTCTTCGCCCGCAGTTTCTCTGCGCCTCCTTTACGCTTTGACTTCTTGATTTCTCACTCAAACTTTTTGTCGATGCACAATTTAATGATGACGCACGGAGCCCAAAGGGGAGGTGACAGATTATGTGATTTGGACAGGCCAGCATAAATTAACAAAAAATATGAAAACAATTGGCAGGTCTACCTGAACGGGCGTCTTTAAGTTGTGTCTGCCCACCGTGAAAGTGCCCGGTATGCCAGATGGCCAGTCCAGCACACTAGCTAGTTGTTGATGTTATAATAATATAATGTATAATATGATACCTTTGTGCCGTAATGGCGTGTGTGAATGTGTTGCACGCATCGCCAGCAGATGGTGCCTTTGGTTAAGTTTGCAATTTGGGGTGAGCCCCAACAAGGGTGACTGAGTCAAACGTAGAGCTCCGCCCACATTGAGGTACGCCCTGATATTGCACACTGATACAGATCTATATCTCTTAGAAAAAACTGCTAAACACCAAAATCATTTGCTATACTTTACTTGCCTTTGCAATAGCTAGAATACGGTCCATGGTGGACTCTTTGGCCTTGCCGCCGTCTGAATCCAGGTGACCATCCAGACGACAAAGGTCAAAGGGTATGAGGCAGGTCATGGAAAGCCACAACAACAACATGTAGCGAGTTTCCCAAGTCTGAAAAAAGTATGGAAAACACACTAATGTTAAATAGTTGATAAAGCCAACAACAAAAAGATTATACATTCAACCAAATAGGAGGTCAATGCAGAGAGGTGTGGTTGTAAAATTCCCCAAGAGAAATAATATCAGTGTTACCCCAGTGTCTTTGGGATCCTGCCTGGACAGCAGGTCCAGTACTGGATGGACATCTGCCACTTCATGGGGCAAAAGCTGCATGAAGATTTTATAGCCTCTGACCTGCCAAGAAAACAATACATTACGCAATTGCCATGAATGTCATATATATAAAACCATTTCTGATAGCAGATTTTGCAAACAAATGACACAATTCAGCCTTTTAATTCAAACAATAAACACAATTCTGTTTATATTATTCTCTTTAGTGCAGTCTGGTGGGTTTTCATTGACATAGTAGTGAAGACACCGCCAATGTGAACACTGTGTTAGACTGACCTTACAGATGATGTAGAGAAACTTGAAACTCAAATGAACTAATGAAGGCGGGGACGTATCACTCCTCACAAACTCCAGCATCATGTTAACCATCCATTCTGAAACCAAGTTTGAAATGTGTTATCATAAACATATTCTTCTATATAAATTGTGTGTGTGCTGTCATCACAGTGCACGTTACCCAAGTGAGGGTCCAGGAGATGAGGCTGCTCTTGGTATCTGTCCATTGTCACTGAAGGAGGAAACAGTATGATGAATTGCAAACAAGCCACGGTTAAAATGACATGCTGTGCTTCATGTTGTCTGTGGATGCCTGTCTCACCTAAGAACTTCTCTGTGGCGCGCTCGCTTGTCACCCTGTCCCCGTGGACCTCAGGCAGGCTGGCAATGAGAGCTTTGGTCTCGCTGCTCTCACTGAAGCCCTCCAACACGCACAGTTTTACAAAAGACTCTCCTTCTTCAACACCGGGACACCCACTGTCTGTCTCCGATGAGGCCATCCTGTCAGAGTTCTCACGTTGATGCAGAGGCTAAAGTTAGCGTTATAACGGTTCTAACCTATGGTTCTGACACACTTAGCTAGCTACTATTAGCATTCAACACAAGCAAACGTAACAAAAACAAACACAATTGCTTGAGAAACGATGTAATGTATTGAACTCAAATAGCTACGACACGGACTTGGATAGCCAGTAATGGCGTGAAAAAAGACTACACAAAAAATGAATTTAATAGCTTTAAACTAAACCCAGTCATTAGTCTTCAGCTCTTCTGTTGTGATGTACGGAGTCAAACTCGCGCCCCGCCCCAGAAATGCTTCTTCTTTGGTTTATTTCCGGCAGAGTAGACACACGTTGGTGTATTGCTGCCTCTCATCGGTGTAGAAACGTCATTGTTCTTGCCCTTTGTGGTCTTCTTGAGGAAGTGTATTACTTTTCCTTTGATACAGCCGGTCGCCAAGCCGTGTTATAAGGGGGAAACGTTTTAACCCTTTGGAGTCCTGGGCTGACTTGGCCGTTTTCGCATACTTCTGATTTGTCTTACTAAACCCCATTAAGACATTTTTGGCATGTCAATGTTTGGTATCTTTTTTTTTAAGGACAACCTTACCTATATAACCTGATAGTTATTTATTTCATTTTGAGACACTATGTGAACATTTTGGACCCAAAATCACAAAAAAACGTAAAAACAGATTTTGAAAATGATATTATTTTTCATATAGGTAACACAAACGTACACAACGAAACCATTTGAAAGCTGGAAATATATACATGGGATGTCACTATGATAATGTGAAAGTTTTATTGAGGTAGCATGAACCTATATACAAATTTTATGAACAAATAACAGGTGTATCCATAGGCTTTTTTTCCTAATTTCTCAAGTTCTGTCAACAGTAGGCACAACAAAACATTTAAAAGCTTAAATAATGTACATGGGATTTCATTCTGATAAGGCAAAAGTGTTATTATAAATATAATACAAATATATATATAGGCCTATATACACATTATGTACAAAAATCTGTTTTTTCTGTCTTTATCTGTGCCACGCTTCAAAGCAGTTTCTGTCAACTACGACACAGAGGGCAACATCACAGGCTCCTCCTCCTCCTCCATGTCAAAAAACAAGCTCATAGCTTGACTCACGTTCAGAGTTCTCTTCATCAAAGTTGAATCTTCAAAACTCTAAATCTATCTATCTATATCTAAATTCTCAATGTTTGTCTGTCACTTTACTTCAATCGCAGTCTCCCGCCGTCTCTCTTTGTCTCCCGCCGCCTGTCTTCGTATATCTTTCGTCTCTTCTTCCATTTTCCCCGCGGTCTCTCTTCGGTTTCCCGCCCGTCCCTCTTCGTCTCTGTTCGTCTCTTTTCGTATCACCGTTTACCTGATTCACCTCACCCCCTCCCTGGTAATACTCCTGATTGGAGCAGAATCTCACAGTTTTCCAGTTTTTCGTTTCGTAAATGATAAAATCCGGCGAAGATATTAAAAATATGTGACCTCATTTATTCATACTTTTGAAATAACTTTCTATTGACTTTATATCACCGTATCTCCGTGTTTACATTTTGGGTCTTTTTGCATGAAACAAGATGGCTATAGTTCAAGCCAGTCTTCGACCA